ATCGCAAATAGGCCTATTGAAGTATTATTGAAGTATTATTAATTCTTTATTAATGTATTATTCGAGCAACTTCATTATTATTATTATTATTATTATTATTATTTTATGTATTATTTATCAACCATACTAACATTGAAAACATGAATTATGTGGATAAAATTATCATAGAAAATAAACTTATAATTTATAAGATTATTTTTTAAAACAGCAGAATAAAATAAATAACTTTTTTTTTAAAAAATACAGGTTTTGCATAGACGCAAGTTGATTTAATATATGCTGATTCATCTCATTAATTAAACAATTTTTATTCATTTCGAGCACTGTTATTATTATTATTATATTATTATTATTATTACTATTATTACTACTATTTTATTTTTAAATTTCTGTTGTTTTATTTTTTGTTTTATGTATGGGCCTAGATATAGGCTATGTATATATTTAATAATTAGAAATAATTATAATTTAATTATAAAACATATATAATATAATGTTAACAATATTATAGGCTAGGCTAGACCTAACCAATTATTGATACCTTAATCTATAGTTTTAAAAAATCCATTTGATAATTAAACAGCAGCTTTTCGAGTGGCAGTGCCGATAGAAAACTGCAGTGTTTCGGCACTGCCGATAGAAAATCGGAGCATTTTTCGCACTGCGGCAATAATGCCGATAGAAAATAACATCTTTTTTCGCACTGTGGCAGTGCCGATAGAAAACAGCAGCTTTTTTGGCACTGCAGCAGTGCCGATAGAAAACTGCAGCTTTTTGGCACTGCGGCAGTGCCGATAGAAAACAGCAGCTTTTTTTGGCACTGCGGCAGTGCCGATAGCCTCAGCCTTATTTTATACCTCCACATTGTGACCATGCCATACAATTTACTTATAAATCCTCTTTGTTTTCATTCACAAGACCACTTAAATCTTTATTTCCCTGAAATTGCAAGGTCTGGGCCTAGGCCTAGGAGGAACCTGGCTAACTAACTAAAGCCCAGGCTAGCCTAGTAGTCCTGCCTAGAGAGGCCTAGCTAGGGTAGGTGTACACACAGGAATAATAATTATTATTATTATTACAATAACTAATTAGCAGTCTTCCAAAATGTTTACAGTATGTCAATAATTTGCGCAAATCCGATAACTGCATGAAATAGGCCCAGCCTCTAGGCTGACCTAGCATGGCCCCCGCATGTCTTAAACTGCAAACGCAAGCCTTTGGTTGGGCTAGCCTACTAGGCGAGCATGTAGTTTTAGGCTGATTGAAATGGAAATAGCCAAGGCCTAGGCCTAGCCTTGACCTGGGTCCCCTAGCAAGGTCTGTCTAAACACCCCTAAATTTCCAATCCGTAAATATCATCTAACCTGCTGGTGGATGTCCACCTTTTAATTCTGTTTGTTCTGCTGTAGACATAACGTTAACTACAAAATAACAATCGAGCTCGAAATATGGAAAAGATTGCCGTAACACGTTGCAAAATACTCGTTGTGACGATTCACAAGATTATCTCCTCAACCAAAACAATTCCCAGCTGCAATTACTGGGGGTAGCACGACTATGAAATGTGTATTTATATATAAATTATAAAAGCTCTCTTTAATAAACATTGATGGACCATATTTGACATAGAATATAACTGAACTTTATTAAAATATCGATATATTATATGGAATGACATAAATAATTATAATTATCATATAATACCAATAAGATCACTCCCCCGTAATTCTAAACAGTAGCCAACATGATGAAATTACGGGGTATTTTTATTGGCACCACGAACTGATGTTTCTCCTTGCTAATAATAGTAGAAATAAACAATATAATTAGATTATGCAGAATTTAGATTCCGGCGAAAAGAATAATATTAGCATCAGCGCAGCTAGGCTATATTATCAGCAGCATTCATTCATCAGACGGGGCGTTTCCCGGAGGCGTGTCTTTACACTAAAATTCTCTAAAAACACGTTGAATTGATCAAGTAGTATAGGCCTACTTCGGTATGTATTTAAGTAAAAGAATGGGTCTGTTGTTTTTATTGTTTGTTTTTATTTCTTACTGCCTGTCATAATAAAAGCGTAGGATTACCTACACAAGAATTGAACAATAATTAAGAAACACAGCAGTCAAAAAGTTGAAAGGAAATAGGCCTACGTACACCAGAAATGACAATTCAAGCCATTATACTCCTATTTGTCATTCCTTTCATCCATTTTTCTATCACATAATGAGGTGCAGTGTAAATTGTGATTATGTAACCTCTAGATGGCCGGATCAGACTTAAAAGTTGAATATAATTTTATCCTTACATCTCAGTGGTGGATTCAATGTGGGGCCCCGCCGGCACCTTAAATTTGTCAACATTTTTTTGTTTAGAAAGTATAATACATACACCAAGTATTGAAATACACGCCATCGTGTTGGAATTCAATATTTCGACATTAATTATATGTCGACATTAATTATGTCATAATCATTCCTGATGATGACATAATAATTGTCGAAATATTGAATCCCAACACGATGGCGTGTATTTCAATACTTGGAGTATGTATTATTCTTTCTTATCTGAGATTAATCAGTGGACCTTTCGGTTTTTTTGTTTTGTTTTTATCTATGTATACTACTTTGAGGTTGCATAAGTTGTTACGTATTGACAACGAATAGCCTAAATATGTTTTGTTTTCATTTTCAATGTTTTTAATTACACTCACCTCTAATATCAAGCTGTTGATGAATGTCTTTTGGTATAGGCCTATTCTGAGGGGCATATATGCGTACTACAGTATATCGTCTCTACTACGGTACTATATCATTTGCACAATTTTTATTTTTTTTTTAACTTTTCGTATCCATTTCGTTTCCTCATTCCAACTAACTTCGTCATTGAATATTTATGTATACTTTGAGGTTGCATAAATTGTTACAATATTGACAAAGAATAAATATTATTTTGTTTTCATTTTAATGTTTTTAATTACACTCACCTGTACTACTGTAATATGATGAAGCTATTGATGAATAGGCCTAGCCTTTTGGTATATTTTGAGTATTATAGCGTACTATAGGCCTATTAAAACCAGTTCTTTTATATTAGTTTTTCTAAAATTTTCGTCGATTTCACTTAACAATTAAAAGTAATTTTGATAAAACCATGGAAATCAAATTCTTAAAGTCAGGCTCTGGGAGGGAAATATGCATTGTGGGACTGATTTTTCTAAGATACAAAAGGGGTGTTTGACGAAAACTCGGCAAGGGTTAATGAATACAGATTTCTTGAATATTTAAAAACTTTATAACTCTGTTGATAAATATTCAAATATCTGTAGGCCTATCTAATTTACTATTCCTGAGTTTTCCGTCAAACACCATTTTTGTGTCTGAAAGTGTTAATTACACTTGGGGACAATTGTATTTAGCAACACAACTGCCAATAAGAAAAAGGGATGGTATATTTTCGAAAATCACTCCCTAAACGTGTAAAAACATCAAATAGGCCTAACAATATATATATATATATATATATA